CTCATCAGCCTAGTGATTTGTTTTGTAACTGGAACACCTGCAAGTCTCTCCAAGTTATCACTGGCTTTTTAAAGGCTATATCTAGTGGTCTCTGGTTAGTCCTCATTCTTCTTAGTCTTTCCATAGTATTTGAAAATACTAACTACATTTTTTTCTGTAATTTTCCCTCCTGGTTTTGGGAATATTATTTTCCCCCGATCCTTCCCATCCCCTTAAATCCTTATCTCTTTGTCTCCCTTTGCCTGGCACTAAGTAATTTCCACCAAGACATTGACCTTGGCTCTCATGTCTCTCAGGAGAGTTCCTGAGCAGTGACTCCATTCCCAACTTCCTGTGGGTTTATTACCTAGGATGGTGAGAATGCATGTTCCTTCAGCTGCCTACTCCTCTTTGACTTCTTGGCACAACAATACCATTTTTCTTTCCCTATTTGGAGTCATCTTTCACACTACTGCTGCCTTTCTTTCTGCCACATCTGATCACAGAGTCCTATTGGTCCTCCCTTTGAAATGCCTGCTTTTTTGGAATGTTCCTGTATTCTTCCTTTGCTGCCATAATTGAGGTCTCCATGAACTATTTTCACCATTTCTTTACATTTTCACCCTGTCTTAATCTCTCCTGTACTGCTGTTGCTGTTAAATTTCCCAGACATAGAGTGACCAGATTTTTCTCCTCTTTGGCATTCATGATTGCTCTCTGCCTAGAGGATCAAGTCTAGCTCTCTTGGATTGCCATTTGTGGTCATCCCTGTGAGACTGTGTTCCTCCCTACCTGTCTCCTCTCCAGCAGTTCTGCATGGTGTCTTCTCTGTCACTCTGCAAGAATGCCACAACTTGCTTTGAGCCAAACATGCAGTTCACTCTGCTTGGGTTTTATTTTCCCTGTTCTGCACTGATGGTTATTTAGTGAATCATGTGTGACCCATCCATTGGAATGCCTTTTGCTTCTTTATTCTCATAGAGCTTTGTTCACACTTCTGTCACTCTTATGGTCAACTCTATGAGATTCTCTTTCTCTGCTGGCTTTTAAACTTCTCAGAAACATCTTTGTTTCCTGAAGTTACAGTATAAGAAGTTTTAATACTTATTGAACTAAAAGTTGGGTAATATATGTTGATGAAAATTTTAAGCTAAGATGCTTAGGAGTCCAGGTGTCATTGTTAGCAAATGAAACACTAACAAAAAGAAAACCCACCTTTCAGCTTTTATTTTAACATATAGTAATCTGGAAGTTGTCTATTTTTTTTCTAGAAATTTGGCTTTACAAAAATAAGAGAAAATAAATTTAAATTGAACTTGCATCAATATAATTTTGCTGTTCAGATGAACTGAAAACACTCATGTAATGGTTGGCTGAGTCAAGCTGCATGTCAACAATCTGTCATCTAACAATTGAGTTCTTTGTGATTGTTGAAAAGCATATATTAAATTTCCCAGAAAAAGACTCTATTAAAAACCATGTAGGAAGGTGAAAGAATATTTTACATAGCATTTTAATTAACTAAAATTGGCTCGCTAAATCTTGGGGTCCCTGAAATGCATAGAGAACACTACAGAAAAATGTGAATACCTTTTTCAAAACAGATTTTCTCACAAATCTTCACCTGTTGGTGTTAACATGATATATAAGTAGCAGAGGCAAGTATTTCCAGCACCACATTTGTAGAAATATCTACCTCTGTGTACTTTTTGCATGTTAATTCTAAGCAACACAGAAAGAGTTGCAAAGGCATGAAGAGACCCAAGCGAATATAGATAAATTCTCCCCAGTGTTGTATTTTGTTCATTAAAACTTTAAACAGTGAGGTTAAAAAACCCTATATTACCAAACATGCATTTTTTTCTCTTTAATTATCTATCACATTTAAAACAAACTATTTTTAAGTGCTTTTTGCCTCGGTAGGGATAATTAGTAGGCTATTTTGTTTGTTTTTAAGGGACTTGGGAAAATGAGGAGACGTAGCAAAGAAAAAGTCAGTGTGGCAAAAGTCCATGGAGATTTTGGAACAGGATTTTGACCTTGTAGGAAACTGCCTTTCCAGGCTCTTGAGTCCTTTTATTCTAGTTATTTGAGCATTAAAACACTGCCTCATTCATTTGCTGCCAAGGATCTGAATCTTCCATTATCCTTTAGAATTTACTGCTTTTGATAGCCAATTTATGGTTTTATTTACTAACCGTCTGATTAGTATAGTTTTTATGTCAATAATTATTAGACATTTTTCTCTCATGATTAGGTAACTGGGCTGTTTAAAAAAGAAACACCTCCAGAATAGCTAAAATTTTAAAAGTTAATACCTACATGTGCCAAAACAGATTAGTAGTGAATTTCCAGAACAGAACAACTTGTCTTGATCTCCTTACCTAACACTTTGCTTTATGTCAAATCTCACTGCTTTCAGGGAACAAGATTTCTTGATGGAAGCTTATATTTTGATGTGAAAAATTTTGAGGCTGTAGTGTAAAGCAATTTCACGCTTACTTTCCAGGTTAAATTTTGCTGCACTATTATTTTTATGTTATTCATGCTGTATGAATACCATAGATTCATAGTAAACTTAATATAATTTTAACACATTATAATCCTGTTGAACTTACTGGCCAAATAAACTTGAATATATTATTTGAGAAATTAAAATCATTTGCTAAATTACCAAATAATATTTATACCCCAGGTCTCACTTCTTTCACAACTATCTCTCTTGTTGTTGCCTTTTTTATAGTAGCAACGAAAACATAGGGAAGGCAAAATTAAAACATTAATCAGAATACTTATGCATGCATGTTATTCTGAAGAAAATTTATTTTAAAATTTAGAATATTTCCGAAAATTATTTTGGATTCAGTCCGGATGAAAATAATTTTAAAATGTATTATTTCCTTTAGTTTAACACCTATTGAATTTGGGGATAATTTAATATTTGTTTGGTCACTCAGAATCATACCCTGCCTAGTATATGCATTACGTTTTGTTATGGTGAGAGAGAATGCTGGATTCAGTATGTGGTGATCAGAAGACAAATGCTAGAAGTTGTCTTCAGGCATTAGACTAAAGTGGCCATGGTTTGTAGTTTAGAGCCAGACTGCTAGAGTTCAATCTTAGCTACACCTCTTCCTACTTATGTGATCTTGGGAAAATTATTTCACTGCTTTGTTCCTTAGTTTCTTCATTTGTGAAATGGGTTGTCTCAGGAGCATTTAACGAGTGAATATGTATATTGTTTAGAATTGTGTCTGGCATACAGGAAACACACAATAAACATCTGTCTCAGAATAGTTGACCTGCCAAATGATATATCTAATTTATTAAGAACTCCAGATAGTTTTACTTTTGATTTATTTTAGTAAATAAATCAACTGTAACAATGATAGCATTTTTCAAAAGCAAAATAAATTTGCATTTTTACTTTAATAATATAAAATGCTTGGGACCAGAGTGTTATGGATTTAGATTTTTTTGGAAAATACATGCCTATATATTTAGGTCTTTTGGGGATGGGACCTAAGTCTAAATATGAAATTCATTTGTTTCATACACTCTTTATCCACATAGCCTGGAAATGATTTCATGCCATGTTTTTAGTGTGCTCGTGTGTTGACTGTAACACATCACATAAAGTCAAGTGTGGAGGTTTCCACTGTGGTATCCTTCTGGCACTCAAAAAGCTTTACATCTTGAAGTTTTGAAGCTTTTCAGATTGGGAGTTTTGTATTAGAGATGCCCAACCTGTAATTTTATGATGCATTTTATGATACTCAGAAAATACTTTACATAGTTAGCAGTCCCATTCGTGATTGCCAAAGAAGCTTGAAGTTATTATGCTTTGTTAGGATGTGTATTAGATCAAACCAGGAACTAAGTTGGCTCATCTGTCTGTCCATCTGTGCTGAGATTTGAAGTGGGGGCGCTGCTGTTTTTCCTTGATGTTTTTTTTTTAGTGTGGCTGAGTCCAAATGACCCAGAGGAGATGATGTAACCATGCACTGCTTGAAATCTACTTGTTCCTGTCATCCTACACTTTTGCTCTTCCAGAGAAAATGCCTTGAAATCTTAGGATTTTTAAATTGAGATCTTCCCAAGACTATTTTCTTTTTAGATTGAGAATAAAAGGAACTTAATTTGTCAAAAAAGCAAACTGAGGTCAGAATAATTTGCTAAACTTTTTTTTAAAAAAGACTTGGTAGCATGACTCGTAAAGATTGACTTATGTTCTTTGTAATCGCTGTTTGCTGCTCAAAAAATAAATATTTGGCATCCTTTTTCTAGCTGTCTTTAACTTTTCCTGGTTTATATCTATTATCCATGCATTCTGATTGCATAGCCTGTTCATTTTCCTTTCATGGAGTCAGTATCTAATGTGACATGGGAGGACTTCCATTGTTCCTGGAGTGTTGCCTACTGCTTATTAAGTTATTACTTCATTCTCTTTGACATCAATGCCTTCCGTCATAAGATCAGGCTTCTAAGATGGTAGTACTTTGAGTTCTCTTATGGAAAATATTTGGAAGATATTTATTAAATACAGACATTCTTAAGTACATTATTAAATGCCTGCTAGTTATTACAAGAGTTAACATGTCACTGATATGTATTAAAGAAAATAGCATGTCTTTTCAAAGTTCACTCTAATTATCTTTAAATACTTACAAGTATCATTTAATGTTTTTGAGTAAACAATCAATATTATTTCCCAGAAACTTAAGAATTAGTTTAGGTAACTCTTCATCTTCAATTAATACTTAATTTCAATTACCACTAATAAATTAGCAAACCTTTTAAAATATAAAAGTTTTCTTGCAATCTATATAATTGAATATCTCATTCTAACTTAGCCTTACGTACCCCATTTTTTAATTCTCTTTTGCTTAGTTGATTTCATTTCTCTTTTATATAACAGACCCAAACTGCCTTGTGGTGAAGGAGGAAACTACACGATTTGCTTTGCTAGCAGTTTTACGTGTGATAGAATTTAACCTCAGTTTATGTCTCTCCCTGCACAGTCCCTTCAGTCTGAATATGTTCATTACTAAGGCCTTGCCACTCCGGTGAACGCTGTTTCATTCTCAGACATCTGGATGCACACTGTGGAGGAAAGCACCTGCTTGCTGGAGGGATATCTGCCTTCTTACCTTAAATTAGAGAGAGCACTAAAAGAACACTTTGAAGAGACTTGAAACCAGAAAACTGGTTAATGACTACTATAAGTGCACTGAAACTACGTTTATGGAGATTTCAACACTTTTAAAGACAATTTTAATGTTAAATTTGGTATTTTGAAAGGTTATTTTTAGTGTATTTCAGTAATATATTTGTTATTGCATTTACATGGACAGTGTTACATTATGTATGTACGGTGAACTTTTAAAGACTATTTTGATAAATTTATAAATAATATAAAATGATGTAAAAACTAGACTATATTTTGATTTAGGCTTTCCTGCTGTTTGCTACCAAAAATTTGTATTTTAAATATGTTTAGTTTTAGTATGGTTTTGTCTACAATGAATAAATAATTCCTCCTTATTTAAAAAAGGGAGAAAGTTTTTTTTAAAAAAGTGATTTTCCTGCTCCTGCTGTGAATACAGCACATCAGTGCATTCTTTGGAGAACATCTAACTTAAAGAGTTCATCCAAGTTTCTATTCACCACAAGTAGAAGAGGATGCCTTTGACATGGCAAAATCCTTCCCTTTGCTTTTGTTCTTGAGCCATTTAAACGAGCTTTGCATCCTTGGAGGCATAAAAAATTTAGTAACCAGATGCCGATCAGATTTCACTGGATATTTCTCCTGAGAGTGTTTTTTTCTCTGTGAAATGATGAAACAGTCCAAATGTTTGTATTTCTTTCCTCCTTTCAAAAAGCATTTTTTAAAAAAACATGCCTTAAACAATTTAATTTGCTTATTTTTACTCTTGTACTTGTGCAAAGGAGAGTTGCATCCTTTAAAATCCAGGTCTAAAGTCTCCAAGGGCTCTATCACTAAACGTACAATAACAGTTTCAATGACCAAAAAGCACTTCAGAAGACTTACTAGTTCAATTTGAATGTTCTGTTTTTGGTACGAAGTGGTTGTCATCACTCGTTTTAACTCAATGAAGAAAAAACTGGAAAACGTGCTGCTAAGTAGTTCTCTAAATGAAGAAGTTACAGTATTTTTGAACATATTACACTCCACCCCAATACACATGCTGGTTTATCTGGAACCTAATAGGAAGGTGAAAGGACCCCATCAAGTGTACTCATGCCCCTTGCATGTAAGCATAATTTACATCTGGGCTTCATTTCTGTGAGGAAGAGTCAGGCAGCTTTAGTTCTTCTCTGCCAGGTTGCATAAGAATGAACTCCTCTGACACTGCAAATGCTAGTTAAGTGGATTCATGTGAAGTGCATGACTCCCCAACCATTGAGCTATTTATAATGTATTTATTCGGAAGGGTACCTTGAAACTATTATATATGCTTCAGCAAGACTTCTTGTTCATGTTTCACATTTTTAAAAAGGCATTTGAATGAATGTTTGACTCAGGTTTGTTAACATCACCTTTAATAACTGCAGTACCAAATAATTACACTCAAAATGGAAAAAAAATGAATAGAATGTTTTAGGAATCGAGGATTAAAATAAGTGGGATTAAATTGTGTATCTTTTCTAAAGCAGAAAAGTAAAATATTTTATTATGTGTTATTGTGAAAAGATTAATGAATTGTATAGAAAGATGATAGTATTTTTTCAAATTATCATTGCAAAGTAATTCAGATGACATTTGAGAAGTAGGACAAAGGGAACCATACTGATGTTTTTAGTTCTATGAACACTAATTTGTGTGCAGCTATTAAATAATTGTAAAGTTGACTACTAGAAATTTTCCATAATTGTATGTGTATATAAGTCATGCATATACATGTGTATATCTTAAAGTTATTTATACACGTGTGCATACATCGACGGATCAAAAGGGGCTGTATATAATATAGAAAGTATATAGCAAAGTAATTCTACTCTGACAATAAAAATTGTGTGACATGTATTTTGTTATGAATAGTTTATCTTTCAGAAGATATTTTGTTCTATTTTAAAGTATAGAATTCACTGCTAATAAATAATAAAAGTTTTATGCAATTTACTTATTTTACTTTTGACTCAATGTCGTTGGTTTCTTTTATATTTTCAAGGTCTTCGTTCTAAATCTTCAGTTTATCTTTGACCCTTTGAATTTCACAGAGATCATTTCATGTCAGGTTCTACTTTTCTCTTTCTTTCTCTAACTTTTCTTTTACTAAAGCACTGATCAGAGCCAGTGTTGTGAGCGCTGCTAGGTCCTTTATGACTCTCGATGACTGCTGTGTGAAACTGTTTATCAATTTCTTTTGAGGCAGAATGGCCATTTGTGTTAAACAAGAAATCATAGAAATATATCAGATGGAACAAATCTCGTACCTCTTGGATCTCTGCCCTGATGTGTCTGCCTGGGAGGAAGAAGCTCCACTACTTATTATCAGTCTTTTGTGTATTAAACTGGACCTTTGGGTTGTGATGTTTCTGAGTTATTTATTTTTTCTTTTTTCAGAATGCAAAGGGAAGGTTTTGAGTGGGAAGGTGGTTTTATTTCTGGAACTAGGAATCTGCAATTAGCTGACCTTACAACACTGAGAAACAGTTGAGATACCAAGGTTATCATGGGTCCCATAAAGACTTTTTGTTTTGGTACTGGGGATCACACTCAGGCCCTTGTGCTTGCAAAGCAGGTGGCAGAACCACTAAGCTAAATCCCTGGCCCCCTGTTAAAGACATTTCTTATGAATCCATAAATCTGTTTAGAAGGGCAGAAAAAAATATTGTTTTACATACTGAATTATTGTGAAAACTAAAGTGAGAAAAGAAAAACAATTATCTAGTTTCATGGTTTGTTATTTTTAGATGCAAAATGATTTATAAATCCCAAAACATTTGGAAAGACTATATAAATTTATGATTAAAATACAGCAAAATGAGTTTATCAACTATAAAGTAAATGAATGTATTTTCAAAATTGTTCTCATATGCTTTCTCTAGTGACATTTTTAAACATTAATCTGTTAAAAATTTCTCTGCTGCCCAGTTGTTGGTGTATGTGCAGAACATACTCTCTGGTGTCTCCTGGCATGTGAGAAGTTATGTTCTTTCTCAGAATCACACCATAAGGCCACTTTAATGATGGGGACAAAAGCCTTGCACTCCTCTTTGCGTTAAGCAGCAAAAGAAGAATTTGGTCCTGGTGTGTCTTCAAAAGATTAATTAGGGATAATTCCAGTTACAACGGCATATAATTTAAAGCATAAGATAACACTCCTTTATATTCACGTGGATTGCATATGGGTGGCGACTATGACAAATAAAGGAAAGCAGAAAATAATTGTATTAAGTTATTTTGAGCTGAATTGATATGTTAATATATTCTCACCCAGTTCCTCCTCTATGGGTTGAATTATGATAATCATATCAAGGAGAAAAATAGCTTTCCTAGAAAATTGTGAACTTTTTTTTATTAGTGCCAAGTAGAAACTTATATTAAAAGGTGACTTTCAATGCAAAATATATTTTAGAGGGTCTGGTTCTAAATGGACAAACAAATTAGCTGACATTTTCACTCTATGCCTTGTTTTAACCTTGCACACCACCGAAATGGGGGTGAATCATATCACTACCTCTTCCAACTGGGCCTTTTTTTTGACTCAAGTTGACCAAAACATTTTTGAGAAATTGAACTGCAAGCAAAAAACAGGGTATGGTAGGACTGTAACACCTGTAAATGCTTACATTAAGAGTACAGCTCTTGGGCTGGGGATTTAGCTCAGCGCTCTGTGGCCTGCCTTGCAAGCCCAAGGACCCAAGTTCAATTCCCGGTACCAAAAAAAAGAAAAAAAGAAAAAGCTATAGATCTTGGGGGAATGAGCCATTAAATATGTTTTGTTTATTTATAATATGATACTCTTCCAAAATGATCTGCAGTGACTTCCAGAGGTGGCAGGTGTTGGGCAGTGGAAGAGCCCTAGCCTAGTATGCATGAGGCCCTGAGTTCACTCTCAAGCACAAAACAAAACAGCAGGTGCACTAATGGTGAGTGAGTTGGGGCTTTGAACCCTGAATTTTGAAGCAGTTTATGCTGGAATCGAAAGCGGAAATAAGCAGGTCTTTCAGATAACGTAGAATTCTCTCTTCCTTGGTTGGGAAACTATATGCCAGATACATACTGTTAGTCAACTCCAGTCAACTCAAACTTTTAAGAAGAAATAGAATAAAAATGTGCTGGTTAGTCTCAGTTATTACCTTAGCAGAATCGGCAATTGGATCATGGGAATGATGCGCTCATCAACTGTAGGTAAATATTCTGACAGGAGGTGGGCCAGAGGGGTATGCCTTAGCAGGATGCACGTTCTGGCTGGCGTTCTTCCTCTGCATTTTGCTTCCTTGTCTCCGATGTGAGCAGCTTTGCTCTACCAGGCTCTTCCACCATGTTTCTGCCTTGGAGTCAGCTGACCATGGACTGAAACCTCTGAAACTGTGAGGCAGATTCAGCTGCTCTTTCCTAACATTGTGGGTGTCAGCTCTCTTGTCCCAGCAATTGGGAAGCTAACTGGTGCACAAAAGTGAGATTGTCGCTCAAGATTCCCCAAACAATGTGAGGTACATGGAATAGAAATTTCAAAAGACAAGCCAGAGATCAGAAGACTACCCTGAAAATTGATCTGTCATCTGTCACATACTTGGCCTTTACTAGAGCCGGTATAAATCTAACATTACCCTCTGATTACTGATTTAAGCTTTGGAAGAAACACAGTCCAGAGATTAGCTGCTTTATCTTTGTCTTTAAAAAATAAAAAATAAAATGCTGGATGACAGAGGGAACCATGTCTAAAATCTAGTTTCTAGTAGGTAGATTTTAACACCATTCCAAAAAATTGATGAGAGATACCATATACAAGAGGGACATTCCAGACAGTTCATCTATTATCTTTCCATGCAGCTTGGCACTGTGCTATGGATCTGCTCGTGTGACTAGAGGGGTTCCATAAGCCTTTATCTTCCTAATATGAGAAAATGCATAATATTCACATCCTATTTCTCCCTTGGCCACTTTTCACACCAATCTGTTTCACAATCGTAGTAGCCACCCCTAGATTTTTTCTACAATTTCTGGTCTAGCTAGTATTTCTTTTACTATCTTGAGCATATACCTTCAGTGACCATGGAATGAATAGCCAGGAGTTGCATGCAGCAACACTATAGCAACAGCTGTGATCAGTGATCAGAAACAGCTGTGATCACTCAATGGGGCCAGAATCACGGGGCTCTGAGTCTCATGCTACATCACCCACCCCAGAGCCCATCTGCACCTTCTCTTTCTCGGATACTGCTGCAGAGACTGAGTGAGGGACACTGCCTCATCATGACAAGTGCTGAGCGCAACCTTGAAAATTGACTAAGCTGACAAACAGTTTAGAATAGCTTGATCTATTTTAAAGTCAAATCTGTTGGGAAAATTATCCTTAATTAAGGATTTCTGTTTAAGTGACAGGTAGTTAGGATTGTTAAGGTAAACCCAAAGAGAAAAAGTTCACCTCTCTGGTCTGGAGGAGGGGTAAAAGTTAATTGTGTAAGGATCTTAGACAGGAAAACCCTGTGTGTCTGGGGACCCCAGGACCACTCTTAGTTCTTGATTCTCTAGAGATAAAGGACTCAGCATAGGGGGCTGTGTGCACAGCTGAGCTGTATTACAGTGAAAGAATACAAGGCAGAATCAGCAAAGGGAAAGGCACATAGAATGAAGTCTAGCGTGTTCTTCCTCTCAGTCGTCTTCCAGGAGAGGCACACAGGACCCCTTAATCCCTGAGTTGTGATCACATGTGTGAAGTGCGGTCAACCAAGAAACTCATCAGGAATAAAGCAGCCAATATTCTTCCCGTGGGCTGGCCATGTGGGCTGGCTAGATGGCTCTAGCACGAAACGAAATTCCAGCCTCCCAGAAAGGAGGCAGATGGTCAGCACAAACCATATTGTTTGCAAAGTCTAGGCGCAGTGAACTCACCTTTTCATGCAGAGGAAGGTTTATGTTAGTGGAGGGGACTGTTGACCAGTTAGCCTCTGTGGCACAAGCCAAATCTAACCTTGCACACAGGCCTTTCTGAGGACAGCAGTCCCAGGCCTGCTATTAAAATATTTGCCCACACAGCCATACATCTTAGACAGTCAATTTGGTAGAAACCAGAAGCATATTTTAATTAATGTACAATTTTACTACAAAAAATTAATCCATAACCTCTATTTTCAGAAGATTTGTTTGAGGAGGGGAAGAGTTGTGACCTAAGGATAGGAACTTTTTTGAGGACTCCTGTGCTCCAGAAGGGTGATAGTTCAAGTGCTGTTTTGTTTGTTTGTTTGGTTTGGTTTCTCTTTTTATTTTTTGAGACAGGATCTCACTAAGATGCTAAATTGCCCAAGCTAGGCTCAGACTTCCTGCCTCGGGGCACTGGGATTATAGGCATATGCCACTACCTCAGATTCCGTTTTGTTTTCAAATGGGCAAATTTGGAAATGGTACAGCGTGCTTTTCTACAAGGCCACAGTAGATACTGCTGTCCAATGTCTCCAACACCCCGATCACACTCAGGTCAATTCCCAGCACTTTAAAAAAAAAAGTGAGCTAGTCTAAAATTTTCCTCACAATATCTATGTCGCTTATCTCTTAATAAATAAAGTTTAAAATGTAGGTTAATACAATTTTAATATAACTTTTTTAAATGTTAAGAAAGAATAGCTAAACAATTGCAAGAGACAATACTAAGAATTTTTAAAAAGATGTA